AATTCTCTGGTCTTTCAAAGGAGATCTTAAGAGTGAAGTATTTCAGGCCCAAGAAGAAAATAACCTCCAATCAAGATTGATGACCTGAGCAAATTCATAGAAACAAAGCCAGAACTTCAAAATGTTCTGAAGTGCATTTAGAAAGAGATAACAAGGACTATAACTTCATGAACTCCACAATAGAAAGACTCTGGGAGCTGGGGATTTAGCTCAGTGGCATAAGCACCTGCCTTGCAAGCAGGCGGTGGTGAGTTTGATCCTCGGTACCGATAAAAGAAAAAAATAGAAAGACTCCAACAGGCAAGGTAACAGTCTCAACTAACCAGCCAAAAGAAACAAACTGGCAAAATGGACAAAAAACAAAATCCAGGACCAGAGATATAGCTCAGTGGCACAGAGCCTTCCCGCCAAGTGTGAGGTCATGAGTTCGATTCCTGATACCAAAAAGAAAAAAAAAATCCAACAATTTCCTGCTCACAGGAAACACATTTAATTCAAAAGAAATTCAGAAACTAAAAGTCAAAGGATGAAAAGTAATACTCCTTGAGATAGGAAACTAAAAAAAAACAAAAAAACAAAGAAAAAAAAAAAAACCAAAGAAACCCAAAACCAGAGATAGCTATTCTATTTGCAGACAAAGTGGATCTCAAGCCAAGACACATTAAGAGAGACAAAGAATGTTACTACATCCTTATCAAGTAAACAATCCAAGAAAAAAAATAATCATAAATACATATGCTCCCAATACCAGTGTACCCAACTACGTAAAACAAACATTAACAGACATGAAAAATCAAATAAGTACTAATACCATTGTAATGGGGTGCTTCAATATCCCATTGTCACAAACAGATCAACTACACAAAAAAATCAGTAATGAAATATGAGAAATGAACCAAACTTTGAACAAATAGACTTTGTAGATACCTATAGAGTGTTCCACCCCACAGCATCAGAATAACATTCTTCTCAGCCACATTCAGGATGGTCTTCAAAATAAATCACATTCTAGCCCAGATTTTTAAAAAATAGAGACACTTAGGAAAATGATGGAAAGCATGAATGTCCAACATAGGAAAGAAATGGAATCCATCAAACAGACTCAAATCGATATCCAGAAGGTTAAAATTTCCATTGCAAGTATATATACACAGCAGGATGAGCCAACATGAGGGCAAAATCTCAGATATACAGAAAGAAGTGAATAAATGAAGGTTTATTGTAGAAAATCAATAAATGAGAAAGAAGTGAAATTGTCCCATGTGTACTATCAGACCATACTGCAGTGACATTGGAAATGAATGACAAAAGAAACCACAAGAGCTTCATAAACACCCTCCTGAACAACCAATGGGTCACAGATAAAATTGAGAAGAAATCAGACATTTTCTACAATTAAACAATAAGGCCAATACAACATACCAGAACTCATGGGATGCAACAAAAGCAGTCCTATAAGGACAATTTATAGTGGTGAAATCCCACCATCAGGAAAACAGAGTGAACTCAAATAAACAACTAAACGTTGAATCTCAAACTTCTAGAAAAAGAAAAGCAAGTCAAGCCCAAAGCTTGTATGAAGCAGGAAATTATTAAGATCAGGGCAGAAATTAATTTACTGGAGACTAAGAAAACAATACAAAGAATCAATGAATCAGTGAGTTGGAGTTTTTTTTTTTTTTTTTTTGTCTTTTTTGTTTTTATCGGTACCAGGGATCGAACTCACGACTGCCTGCTTGCAAGGCAGGCGCTTATGCCGCTGAGCTAAATCCCCAGCCCCAGAGTTTATTTTTTAAAAGATTAAGAACAACAAACTCTTTGCCAAACTTATCAAAGAAAGAAGGAAAGGACTCAAATCCATGCAACTGAGAATGAAAAGGTGAGCTCACACCGTATCGTGCAGGAACCCAGAATATCGTGTACGCCTGTGCTGAGGATCTGTGTTCTAATAAGATGAAAAATGCAGAAGAAATGGACAGATTCCTACCTGCATATGAATTACTAAAGCTGAAGCAAGAAGATACAAAAGTTCTAAATAAACCAGTATCAGCCAATGAAATTGAAGATGTAATTAAAAACCTACCAACCAAGAAAACCCCAGGCCTCGACAGATTCACTGCTGAATTCTATAAGAAATTTAGAGAAGACCTCATGTCATTACTCCTCAGACTCCTTAATGAAATTACAAAGGAAGCAATAGTCCCAAACTCATTTCTGGAAGCAAGCAGACAACAAAACCAGAGAAAAACTCAACTAAGAAAGAGAACTTCAGGCTAATCCTCCTAATAAACTTAGATGCAAAAATTATCAGTAAGATTCTGGCAAACAGAACACAGCCAATCCTTAAGAAGACTATACACATACCAAGTAGGATCCATCCCAGGGATGCAGAATGATTCAGCATATGCAAATCAATAAATTAATCCACCATATTAACAGAGCCAAGGGCAAAATCCATCTGATCATCACAACAGATATCCAGGAAAAGCATTTCACAAAGTCCAACACCCATTCATGATAAAAACCCTACATAAAATTGAAATAGATGGTCTTTATTTCAATCTGATAGAAAGCATCTATGACAAACCAACAGCCAGCATCATACTTAAACAGACAAAAACGGAAAGCTTTCACTCTAAAATCAGGAACGAGACAAGGGTGTCCACTGTCTGCACTATTATTCAGTATAGTTCTGGAAACATTAGCCAGAGCAACTAGACAAGAGAAAGAAGAATAACACCAACAAAAAGAAAAGAAATAACAATAGAAAAAGAAGTTAAGTTATTATTTGCAGATGACATGATACTCTACATAGAAGATCCCAAAAACTCCATCAAAAGACTTCTGGATTTAATAACCAAACTCAGTAGCATACATGCAAACAGTCAAAAATCAAAGCCAGCACTCAAAAATCAGTAGCCTTCCTGTACATGAATAACGAACTCACTAAGAGAGAAATTAGAGAAACCTGAGTCTTTGTGACCGGAGGGTCTGTTTTAGCCCTCGAGTACCTAGCTGCATAGAAGGCTGGAGTGGTCTTGTCGGGTCATGACTGATGATGACCCAAGTGTTTGAATTAGAAAACTGGGCCAGGGGCTGGGAGGGTTGGGAGGAGGCGGAGAACCATCACCCTCCAGTGAGGCACAGCCAGTCGTAGTGTAGCCCATCACCAGGGTCGTCACCAGAGCGGACACGGGGAGGTCCCAGAAGGCCGTAGGAAGAGGTGTTTGTAGCTGGCTGCTTGGAATCACGTGGCACCAGCTGATGGAGTGATTTGTCCTCTGTCTAGGGCAGCACAGAATATTAAGAGAGGGGGCAACTAGATAAGAAAAGAGGGGAGCATGGAGGGAGTCACCCCAGAGAAGGCTGTGGTGCTCTCTGTACACCAAGGGCAGGTTCTGCCTGATCTAGACTCTGTTGTGGGTGAGGCTCTGGAGATTGATTTATTAGTGGGAGTGCATGGGGTGGGGTAAACCTTGACATGCCTGAGCTTTGGCACAGACTTTAGGGGCTTCTGGGAAGAAGGAGGTGTGTGCATCATCAGGGCACAGCTTCAAACCTCGGCCGTGATGATTGTGCTGTCTCTCAGACGGGGGCCCTAACAGAACTGATAAACAGTAACACAAGTGGCTCCTTATCCAGAGAACTCCACCTTACCCAGAGAACCCTGTCCCCCTTCACAGAAGAACAGTCCAGGAACAATTAGTGAAATTCCTTTGAAACTTCGTAAGGGTGAAAAGTCTTTTTCGTGCGGGGCTGCTGCCTGTGCGGCGGCCAGTTGTGTTTCTTGTCTACAATAAACCTTCATTTCACTTCTGCTGTGAACTGACCGTGTGTGATTGCTAAGAATTCACATTCCTGGCAGCTGTGCAGAAGTGTAGTCCTTGGGTATGAGAAGAGCTCCTAATTCCATCTCCTAACTGTCCTGACCGTGTTAGTTTTCAGGGTCACCCACACACCACTCTCAGGGGCATCTATCTCCCCGTTCCTAAGACTTGGGGGTTTTGAGATAGAAAGTGAGCCGCTTCTGGGCTTTTACTTTGTCCTGTCTGTTAAATAATCAGTCATCACTGTGCTCATTTTCTTGTCTTTGTAGATTTATGTCTAAATATGGCATTTTATGGTCAACATCACTGGTCATTCGAGAGATGCAAATTAAAATAACACTGAGATTCCACCTCACCCCGGAAAGAACGGTTAGTATCAAGCAATCAACCAATAACAAATGCTGGAGGGGCTGTGGAGGAAGAGGAGCCCTTCTCCACTGTTGGTGGGAATGCAGACTGGTGCAACCACTATGGAAATCAGTATGGTGTTTCCTTGAAAAACTAGGATTTGAGGTCTCATTCAACCTAGCTAATCCTCTTCTGAGAATCTTCCCCAAAGAACTAAAAACATCATACCACAGTGAAGTATGTGCACCCATGTTTATAGCAGCACAGTTTATAATAGCCAGATCTTGGAAATAACCTAAATGTCCATTGACCAAGGGATGGATAAAAAAGAGGTGATATTTTTTTACAATGGAGTACTACTCAGCTGTAAAGAATGATGAACTGGACACTTTTGAGGCTGGGGGCTGGAGACTGACCCACTGAACTACACCTCCAGCATCTTTTTTTTTTTGTACCAGGGATCGAACTGATGACCTTACAGTCGCTAAGGCCACTGAGCTAAATCCCACCCCTAAACTGTATCCTTTCATAGGCAAATGAATGGATCTTGAGAACATACTCCTTAGTGAAATAAACAAGACACACATGTGTAAACATCGTATTATTTCATTAGTATGACAAGCTGAAAGTAAAAACACATACACAAAAATAGTTAAGATAGTTACATTACTGATTTCTCTGAGTTCACTGAAGTGAAAGATTTGTACTGATATTTGCACTGATATTGTTCAGACAATGGAAGGCAGATGTGCCCTGGGTGAATGATTTGGGGATGACATGAGCAATGTAGGTACCATTGTTACCCCTGGTTGATGTACTTTAAAATTTTGTTGTAGTTTTCTTCTTCTTCTTCTTCTTCTTCTTCTTCTTCTTCTTCTTCTTCTTCTTCTTCTTCTTCTTCTTCTTCTTCTTCTTCCTCTTCTTTTCTTCTTCTTCTCCTCCTCCTTCATTTCTTTTTATCTATGAATAAAATGGACTTTAAATAAATCAATCAATCTGAGACTGTAGTGGGGTTTCAGTGAGGCAGTGGTAAAGGACACGTGGAATTCTGGAGTTCTACACCAAGCCACTCTTCTTCCCAGCCCAGGGTGGCCTCCATGCCCATCATACCATGATCACTGCTCTGGGTGAGGTCACCACACCGACAGTGGGATCCGCCGCGTGCTGGGCTCAGTTGCTTAGAAACGGGCTGATTCCCCAGCCACGCTTATCAGTTGCTGGCACAAATTCCAAGATCTCCTTGTTGACAAAAACAGCCGTGGTTCCTGTCTTCTTCCTGCTCAGCAACACACAGTGGGACCGCCTCTCTCCTTGGCTTTTGTGTGACACCCTCGCCTGGTTTCCCTCTGCCTCATTACGACCATTCAGATTTCCAGTGGGTCCCCGAGGCCCGTGTGGAGGGTGGGCAGGCCAGGAGCTGGTACCTGCTGTAGAAAGCTTTACCAGGTGGGACTTCACGGGAGGAGCCCAAAGTCCTGAGTGTCTGCCCTGGGGGCAGCCCGCATCCAGCCTCCTCCTCCATTTCTTTCTTGGACCAGTTCCTCCCTGGCCATGAGGTAAAGCGCTCTGCCCTGCCACAGGCTCCCATCTTGATGGCCCAAAAGCAGCCCCCATTAGTGATTTCCCCTAGCGAGTGAGCGAGAGAGAGAGAGAGAGAGAGAGAGAGAGAGAGAGAGAGAGAGAGAGACTCACTTGCGTGCGCTGGTGACTCCCAGGTCCACACCCTCCACCTTGACTCCACTTGGAAGCCTGGCGGGCATTTCCAGACCAGAACCCTCAAGTCTGTATCTTCCCCAAAGTCAATATTTTTTTGAGACCCCCCTTGAGGTCTCTCTCCCCTTCACCTGCCTTTCCCTCCTACAAGAAGCTAAGCTCTTCCAAAACTCCAAACCTTGTGCAGGCAGAGTCCCTTCCCACAGCCCTCTCCTCCTGCCAGGCTTCTCCAGGCCTCGGCTCAGGTCTCTCCCTCTGTGTCGCTGCCCTGCATGCCTGAAATTCTAACCTGCGTGCTATTTGTTTGTTTATTTTTCCCCAAATGTGCTTTCTACGCTGTATCAGGGCAAAGCCTGAGTCTGGCCTGGGCTTGTATTAACAGCCCCTGACACAAAACTGGTTCTCATAATTAATCACTAAATGAAATTTTTTAAAAGTATAGGATTTAAAGAGAGTTGTAGGAAGCAGGTAGGTTGTCACGTGCACCTTTTAAGGCTATCAAAACGAATAAAGCAAGAGAGATGGGGCTCAAATGTACTCATCCCAGCGGGGTCCGGTCTTCCCCGGCACCATCATGGCAGGGAGGTCCTGCTCCCCAAATATCAAGACACCCAGCCGCCTGTGCACCTTGCCAACCCCCGTGCCAGTCTGCATCGCTTCAGTCCAGATTTCCCCTCTCTGTCCCCCTGCTCCATGCCTGAAATCCAGAGCACTCCTCAGGGCAGAAGGGGACGCACAGCTGGCAGGTGGAGTCCGATTGCAACCACCACCTTGCAGGGCGGGACGGGGCGGGCCAGGGTGGGCGCGTCCCGGGGTGAGTGGCCTCCCGCTGCCTCGCCCTCCACACTTCTGCAAGCTGCAGACAGAGGGCCAGACTGGGCTGGCACCATGGCCAAGTTCAGGCTGAGAGTGTCCACCGGGGAGGCCTGCGGAGCTGGCACTTGGGACAAAGTGTCTGTCAGCATCGTGGGGACTCTGGGAGAGAGCCCCCCACTGCCCCTGGACCACCTGGGCAAGGAGTTCTCCGCCGGAGCTGTGAGTGCAGCGGGAGCGAGGAGAGGGGTGGGGGGCGCAGGGCTGGACACTAAGCCTTCCCACCTCCAGGAGGAGGACTTCGAGGTGACGCTCCCGAAGGACGTGGGCTCCGTGCTGCTGCTGCGCGTGCACAAGGAGCCCCCGCTGTTGTCCACCCTGCTCGGGTCGCAGCCCTCGGACGCTTGGTTCTGCCGCTGGATCCAGCTGGAGCCGCCGCAGGGCGCCCCGCTTCTGTTCCCCTGTTACCAGTGGCTGGACGGGGCGAGCACCCTGGTGCTGCGGGAGGGCGCAGGTGAGGGGAGCGCGGGAGGGAGGGGGGGGGGACGCGTGCTGATGACCTGCTGTGCTCACCTGGTAGGGGCAAGATGGGCTGGGCGGGAGGACGAGGGCGCTTCCTCTTCCCCTCCGGTCCGCTCCCTCCTGCAGCCAAGGTCTCCTGGGCAGACGAACACCCCACCCTGGAGCAGCAGCGCCAGGAGGAGCTGCAGGCCAAGCAGAGGATGTACTGGTGAGCAGGGGGCTGGAGGAGACCATGCAAGGGCGGTGGGCAGCCTGTGGCCTCTGACACACAGACTAAAAGCCCTGTCTGAGCCCTCCCTGGCATCCAGGACCTGCACCCTCTCCCCGGCTGGGCACTGTGCTGGTTCTCAGGTTTCTCCAGCCTCCTGACTCAGAGCTGAGAGGGCAGCAATCTGTCTTGACAAGCCTTTTATATGACTCTGGCTGACCGCTGAAGTTTGAATCACTGCTCTGAGCGCCATACCCTTCCTTACCGTGAGGATTTTTCATACATCAGCTTGGCGTGTCTTCTAGAAATAGGGACAGAATCAGAAATACACCTCTTAATCCCCAGGAAGCCCCACTTTCCCTGCTCTGGGCTCAGCATTTGAGGTCACCGAAGGGAGCTGGCCTGTAGCATGTCTGGCCAAGGATGGAAGTGCAAATGAACTGAGGTCGAGGGTGCAGATTCCCGAGGCAGACACTGAGGAACTGCACTTGGGTGAGGATTTTCAAAAGACCTTGATCTTGGTCTTGGCTGCCGAAGCTTGGGCTGAAGTCTCCTGCTCGTATATCTGGGAATGAGACAGCTGCAGGCTTATTTGGTTTCTGGAGATTCTATGTGTGCCATGAATTACACCCCCGAGAAAACCATTGCCTTAAATCTCACAGCAACTGGGGCTGGGGATTTAGCTCAGTGGCATAAGCGCCTTCCTTCAAGCAGGCAGTCATGAGTTCGAACCCCAGTACCTGCAACAGCCCCAAGAGAGGGGTAGATGTTGAGGTCCGTGGTGTCACTGGACCAGTGTAAACTGCTAAAAAGTATGATGGGACCTTAGACAAGTCATTAATTTCTTTACTCCTTATTTCCTTTTGCAAAAGAAACCAAGAATACTGGTCTCCTTAGGGTTATCGGGTGGACCAAATGACAAATAGTTAAGGATACCCCTGACCAGCTGTGGACCCTGCACAGCTCACTCTGCTCCACGTCTGGGCTTTGGGCAGCTAGTGATGTGGCCCCGCAAGACTGAAAACTTTTAACCCTATTGTATGATTTTTAGCAATATTATTCACGACTTGGTTGTGCAATCCTGGAGTACACCACACAAGTAAAATTCAGAGGTTACCAATCGAGTAATAGTATTTCAACCTCCCCAAACATGTGTGTGCTTGTGAAGAGGTGCCTGTTATTAAGAAAACATGTGAGCTTTCATATTTCACTATTAAACTTAGCTTTATAATATCTCATAAAGTAATTTAAGAAGTTAAAATATTTTAAAAAGCAGGTTCATTACTTATATATGCCACTATATTACATATTTTATATGCAGCCAAAGACAACTCTTCTTCACCGAGTGTGGCCCAGAGGGCTGCACCCCCGTAGTCTAGACCCTTACTTCTTAAAACAGAGGCTCAGGCCCTCAGCACACTCATATGCCAGGGGCTTGTTAGAAAATGCAAGCTCCTGGGCCCATCCCAGAGCTCCTGAGTCTGTGGTTTCTCAGGATCTCTAGGTTGCTCAGGCCAGTCTGAGAAGCAGGGTTTGTTCACACCTGTGAACAAACTTGTACTTGACTTGCAAATGAAGTTTGAACCTTTCCCTTCCCCTTCCCTCCCCTCCCTTACCCTCCCCTTCCCTTGCTCTCCCCTCCTCTCCCCTTGCCTTCCCTTCCCTTCCCCTCCCCTCCCCTCCCCTCCCTTTCTCTCCCCTGCCCTCCCCTCCCCTTCCCTCCCCTCCCCCTCCCCTCCCCTTCCCTCCCTTCCCTTCCCCTCCCCTCCCCTTCCCTTCCCTTCCCCTCCCCCTCCCTTCCCTTCCCCTCCCCTCCCCTTCCCTCCCTTTCCCTCCCCTTCCCTCCCCTCCCCTACCCTTCCCTTTCTCTCCCCTCCTCTCCCCTTGCCTTCCCTTCCCTTCCCCTCCCCTCCCCTCCCCTTCCCTCCCTTCCCTTCCCCTCCCCTCCCCTTCCCTTCCCTTCCCCTCCCCCTCCCTTCCCTTCCCCTCCCCTCCCCTTCCCTCCCTTTCCCTCCCCTCCCCTCCCCTCCCCTCCCTTTCTCTCCCCTGCCCTCCCCTCCCCTTCCCTTCCTTTCCCTCCCCTCCCCTCCCCTCCCCTTCCCTTCCCCTCCCCTCCCCTCCCCTTCCCTCCCTTTCCCTCCCCTCCCCTCCCCTCCCCTTCCCTTCCCCTCCCCTCCCCTCCCCTTCCCTTCCCCTCCCCTCCCCTCCCCTCCCCTTCCCTTCCTCTCCCCTCCCCTCCTCTCCCCTTGCCCTCCCTTCCCTTCCCCTCCCCTCCCTTCCTCTCCCCTGCCCTCCCCTCCCCTTCCCTCCCTTTCCCTTCCCTTCCCCTCCCTTCTCTTCCCTTCCCCTCCCCTCCCCTCCCCTCCCCTTCCCTTCCCCTCCCCTCCCCTCCCCTCCCCTTCCCTTCCCCTCCCCTCCCTTCTCTTCCCTTCCCCTCCCCTCCCCTCCCCTCCCCTTCCCTTCCCCTCCCCTCCCCTCCCTTCCTCTCCCCTCCTCTCCCCTTGCCTTCCCTTCCCTTCCCCTCCCCTCCCTTCCTCTCCCCGGCCCTCCCCTCCCCTTCCCTCCCTTTCCCTCCCCTCCCCTCCCCTCCCCTTCCCTTCCCCTCCCCTCCCCTCCCCTTCCCCTCTACTCCCCTCCCCTCCCCTTCCCTTCCCTTCCTCTCCCCTCCCCTCCCCTCCCCTTCCCTTCCCTTCCCCTCCCCTCCCCTTCCCTTCCCTTCCCTTCCCCTCCCCTCCCCTCCCCTCCCCTCCCCTCCCCTTCCCCTCCCCTCCCCTCCCTTCCTCTCCCCTCCTCTCCCCTTGCCCTCCCTTCCCTTCCCCTCCCCTCCCTTCCTCTCCCCTGCCCTCCCCTTCCCTCCCTTCCCTCCCCTCCCCTCCCCTTCCCTTACCTTCACCTCCCCCTCCCTTACCTTCCCTTCCCTCCCCTCCCCTTCCCTCCCCTTCCCTTCCTCTCCCCTCCCCTTCCCTCCCCTTCCCTCCCCTTCCCTTCCTCTCCCCTCCCTTCCTCTCCCCTCCCCTTCCCTCCCCTTGCCTTCCTTTCCCCTCCCCTCCCCTCCCCTTCCCTCCCCTTCCATCCCCTCCCCTACCCTCCCCTCCCCTTCCCTCCCCTTCCCTCCCCTTCCATCCCCTTCCCCTTCCCTCCCCTTCTCTCCCCTCCCGTCCCCTCCCCTCCCCTTCCCTTCCCTTCCCCTCCCCCTCCCCGCCCCTCCCCTTCCCCTCCCCTCCCCTCCCTTCCTCTCCCTTCCTCTCCCCTTGCCCTCCCTTCCCTTCCCCTCCCCTCCCTTCCTCTCCCCTCCCCCCCCTCCCCTCCCCTCCCTTCCCCTCCCCTCCCTTCCCCTCCCCTCCTCTCCTTCCCTTCCTCTCCCCTCCCTTCCCCTCCCCTTCCCTCCCTTCCCTTCCCCTCCCCTCCCTTCCTCTCCCCTGCCCCCCTCCCCTCCCTTCCCCTCCCCTCCCTCCCCTTCCCTCCCCTTCCCTTCCTCTCCCCTCCCCTTCCCTCCCCTTCCCTCCCCTTCCCTTCCTCTCCCCTCCCTTCCTCTCCCCTGCCCTCCCCTCCCCTCCCCTCCCCTTCCCTCCCCTTCCCTTCCTCTCCCCTCCCTTCCTCTCCCCTCCCTTCCTCTCCCCCCCTCCCCTTCCCTCCCCTTCCATCCCCTTCCCTTCCCTCCCCTTCTCTCCCCTCCCCTCCCCTCCTCTCCCCTCCCCTCCCCTCCCCTTCCTTCCCCTGCCCTCCCCTCCCCTCCCCTTCCCTCCCCTTCCCTTCCTCTCCCCTCCCTTCCTCTCCCCTCCCTTCCTCTCCCCCCCCTCCCCTTCCCTCCCCTTCTCTCCCCTCCCCTCCCCTCCTCTCCCCTCCCCTCCCCTCCCCTCCCCTCCCCTCCCCTCCCCTTCCTTCCCCTCCCCTCCCCTTCCCTCCCCTTCCCTTCCTCTCCCCTCCCTTCCTCTCCCCTCCCTTCCTCTCCCCCCCTCCCCTTCCCTCCCCTTCCCTCCCCTTCCCTCCCCTTCTCTCCCCTCCCCTCCCCTCCTCTCCCCTCCCCTCCCCCCTCCCCTCCCGTCCCCTTCCCTCCCCTTCTCTCCCCTCCCCTCCCCTTCCCTTCCTTCCCCTCCCCTCCCCTCCCCTCCTCTCCCCTCCCCTCCCCTCCCCTCCCCTTCCTTCCCCTCCCCCCCTCCCCCCCTCCCCTCCCCTCCCCTTCCCTCCCCTTCTCTCCCCTCCCCTTCCTTCCCTTTCTCTCCTTTCCCCCTAGATCAGCGTCCTCTGGTTTCCAGTCCACGTAGCAGGAAAGTCAAAGCTCACAGTCCCTGTGTTCACATGCTATATTCCAACTGTCCAGAGAGGGAGGAGAGACCCCTCCCTAAGGCAGCTTCTACTTCAAATTCCCTGAGAAGAACTCAGATTAGCCCAGTTCTGGTCAAGCTGCCAGACCTGGGCTGATCGGTCATGACTCAGAAGAGGTCTCCCTGTGAGAACCTGAGGGCCCCCTTGCTGTTCGTGGGCAGAGGGGAAGTACTGATCGGATCGCAGGGAGGTCTTTGCTCAAAGAAGAGGGCTGGCCCTGATCAAGACTCCTCTGCCTCTGTCCAGGGTCCCCTGAGGCCTCTTGCTGATCACCTGCCTGTTCGCTCTCCAGGTGGAAGACCTACCTCCCAGGCTGGCCTCGCTGCCTGGATGAGGATTCTGTGAAAGACCTGGACCTCAATGTCAAGTACTCTGTAGCCAAGAAAACCAAGTTTACCCTGAAACTTGGCTCCGGGTGAGAATGTCCAACTTGTCCTGTTCCCGGGCCTCAGATATTCTGGCACCCCTGCGTCTGCCCTCCCTTGGTCAGCTCCCCACCAGCAGTGCTCACAGATCACACAGTCCTGCTTCCCCCCAGCTCCCACAGGGCAGTGGTGACCGAGGGGAAGTGGCTCCCTCGGACCCTGGAATCTGGTTTAGAACCCCAGGAGAGACAGCTCCTTTCGTCCCCTGGCAGGATTGCAGAGCTAAAACTCAAGGGGCTGCTGGACCGCACAGGGCTTTGGAGGAGTCTCAGGGAGATGAAAAGGATGCTCAACTTCCGGAGGTCTGCAGCAGGCGGTGAGGAGCTCGGCCGGCACTCCTGAGGCCTCCCCGTCTCAGAAACCGAGCGCTAACCTACTGTGTGACTCTGGGCAGACCCCTATCCCTCCTAGACTGGACATTCCCCACAGGCACAAAAGAAGATATGGACTGGGGTGACCCCTGACCCCCTAATCCAAAGACATTTCTTTTGAGCTATTGTCCACCAGGCACTGGACTAGGGCTGTGGACACAACTTGAGTTCACAGGGCCCACCATCAAACAGGCTAGAGGCTATTAATTAGACTCAAAATTGTATCCTGGCTGTCACTTGTGAGACCTGCTCAGTGGCTCCAGATGTGTGTAAAATGTGGACCCTCCTTAACCTGGCGGGGGCCTGGAAAGCTCTCTCAGAAGGCTGAGTAGGTATTAACAGCGCCAGGATGGTCAGCAGGCATTTCAGGCTCAGGGAGCACCAAGGAGAAAGGCCTTGAAGATGAAAGGACTTTGCGGGGAGAGAAAGAACACTGCCTCGGCCAGAGCAGACGGGTGGAGGGGAGGAAGGTGAGACAGGAGCCGGGGAGGTGCCCAGGGCCGGTGGTGCAGGACCGTGGGCCACGGCAAGAGTGTGCTTTTCCTCGGCGCGGTGCTGGGCTACGTCCTGGTGCCAGCTGGGAATAATATGGGCAAATTTGCTCTTTGGGACAAGAATGGAAACAGGAGAATGAGGCTGGAGTCTCTGGCCATACTCAGCAGAGGATGGTGGCCTCAGCGAGACAGTGGCCATAAGGACAGAGTCACAGGTGGACCAAGAAGCAGGGAGAGTGGACAGTCATTGGGACTGGATGGGGGATGCCATGGGCGGTCCAGGTGCATGGAGTTGCCGCTCCCCGGGATGCCAGGCCTGAGCTGGAGGGAAAGCCCACGGTTGGTCTCTGATACGCTGCCCTGGAGTCTGAGGAGTCAGCAGGAGAGTGTCAGGTAGATGGCGGGGCAGTAGGCGGGGGACTCGCCTGCCATAAGGACAGGGCAGCGACTGAAGCCGAGCAGCCAGAGGAGGAAGATACGGGATGGCGGAAGGGACCGCCACTGTGAAAGTCGGGGGGATCTGTCGGAGCTGGGGTGACTGGTCCCCCACCATGTCCCCCACCCTCCTGCAGAGTACGCATTAACACACTGGCGGGAGGACTCCTTCTTCGCCTCCCAGTTCCTCAATGGACTCAACCCCGTCTTGATCCGCCGCTGTCGCTCTCTCCCAGAGAACTTCCCGGTCACCGATGTCATGGTGGCCCCAGTGCTGGGCCCTGGGACCAGTCTGCAGGCTGAGTTGGAGGTGGGGTTGTGGAGTCTAACTCTGAAGTGTTATCTTGGTGCCTTTACGGTCACCCCGCACTGGAGAGGGAGGGTGCACTCACATTTGTCAGGGACCTACTGTGTGCTGCGTGGTACCAACACCATTTCCCAAAACACAGTGCTCTCCCGGCCCGGAGTCCTCTCCCTGCTACCTGCCTGTCACCCTTTAGAAAGCCAGGTGGCAGCCCAGCTGCCCTCTCTTTCCCGCAGAGGGGCTCCCTGTTCTGGTGGATCACAGCATCCTCTCCGGCATCCAAACCAATGTCATCAATGGAAGGCCTCAGTTTTCCGCAGCGCCAGTGACCCTGCTGTACCAGCCCCCAGGAGGTGGACCCTTGCTGCCCCTTGCCATCCAGGTCCACTGCTGGGCAGAGGGCAGGGCAGGGGTGGGGAGGGTCCCAGTGAATGATTTGCAGACACTCACAGCCCCTCTCCCCCCATGGGTTCCCCACCCAGCTCAGCCAGACTCCCGGGCCCAGCAGCCCCATCTTCCTGCCCAGCGATGAGACGTGGGACTGGCTGCTGGCCAAGACCTGGGTGCGCAATGCTGAGTTCTCCGTGCACGAGGCCCTCACACACCTGCTGCAGGCGCACCTGCTGCCCGAGGTCTTCACTATGGCCACGCTGCGCCAGCTGCCCCGCTGCCACCCGCTCTTCAAGGTTAGTGGCTTAGTCTACCAATAAGCACCCAACACCCTTCCCTGGCCCTCACAGTCCCTCTTCTAAGTAGTCAATCCCGGTGGTCCTGTCTGTCTAGGCTGGGCACAGGGCCCTCAAACTGCATTATGGTAGCGCCTCCCTGCAGCTAGGAGCTCCCGCTGCAGGACCAGAACTGGGCAAAGGCGGACACTGGGCCCTAGCTCGGCTTCCTTCTTGAGCAACCAGATGGGATTGGCTAGCACTGAGTCCTAGGACAGGGGAGCCCTGGAGCTAGCAGATGCAGAAGTGGACACAGGACTTTCAGAGACCAGCAGATTTTCTGAGACTCATTCCGGAGTTGGGGGAATCCTGAGTGCAAGAAACGTGCTCTGGAGGGGGTGCTATAAGTCCCCTTCATATGACACAGATTTATTTCTTGCGTCTCCCCTGAGGAAGAGGGACTTCTCCCTCCTCAGGCCGCCCAGGCTCTCGGATTCCTGTTTAGATGGTCTCCTGGGTTCTGGCCCTCTTTGTGCTGTTCAATCCGCCCTGCTTCTGGCCATCTGTGGCTCTCAGGGCCTGGCATTCAGAGATGGGTTTGGGGGACAGTTCCACGCTGCCTGGCCTACAGTGCTTTGCCTGCCTGTGGGTTAAGAAATCACAGTGTTCATCAAAATAGCACCTTTATTTGATAAAGTGATCTGGTACCCAACATGCCTGCGGGGTACACAATAGGATGCTTTAAGATCTCGGCTCTCATCTCGGGATCTGGCGTGCTGACCCCTGTTCTGAGCCATTTCCCCTGGCCCCTGCTGTCTCTTCTGGGTGACTTAGGCAGCTGGGGAGATCTAGGCCATCCGCACTTTACTGTTTCCTGTGCCTTACAGCTGCTGATCCCACATACAAGGTACACCCTGTACATCAACACCCTTGCTCGACAGCTGCTCATTGCCCCCGGGCAGGTGGTGGACAGGGTAAGAGGTGCCTTGGGGAGGCTGTGGGGTGAGACGCCCCTTCCACTGGACAGCTCTGGAGTTCAGTGACCCTTGGGTGTGTTACCTCCCCCTTCTGAAGAGACGCTGGTGCCAGGAGTCCTGTCTCCCAGTCCACAGGCCTTGGCGTGGAAGGCTTCTCGGAACTGATCCAGAGGAACATGCAGCAGCTGAGCTACTCTAGCCTGTGTCTGCCTGAGGACATCCGGGCCCGCGGCGTGGAGGACATCCCAGACTACTACTACCGAGATGACGGCCTCAGGGTCTGGGCGGCAGTGGAGCAGTAAGGGGCTGTCCCTGGGGCTCCAGGAGGCTGGGAAGGAGGAAGGCGGGATGTGATGACGGGGGGCAAGGGCACGTCCTGGACGGGGTCAGGACTGCAGGACGGGACTGAACCCAGATGTGCCCTGCAGCTTCGTCTCTGAAATGATTGGCATCTACTACCCAAGTGATGCCTCTGTCCTAGACGACGGAGAACTCCAGGCCTGGGTGAGGGACATCTTCTCCAATGGTTTCCTAGGCCGGGAGAGCTCAGGTATGAGAGGACCTCTGCCTTGAGCCTACACTTAGGCCTCTGCAGATAGATCCTCAGGACCCCAGCAGCCCCATCCCCAATGCTGCGCTCTCCACAGGAGTGCCCTCCTCTCTGGACACCCGGGAAGCTCTGGTCCAGTATATTACCATGGTGATATTCACCTGTTCAGCTAAGCACGCAGCGGTCAGTTCAAGCCAGGTAGGAAAGGTCAGCGTGGGGGAGGGGGTTCAGGGTGGGAGCGAGTTGGCTCCTCAGCCTCATTCTGCCCTTTTGGCCTTCAGTTTGATTCCTGTGTTTGGATGCCCAATTTGCCATCCACCATGCAGCTGCCGCCACCGACTTCCAAAGGTCAGGCAACACCGGAGGGTTTCATAGCCACCCTCCCGCCAGTCAATGCCACGTGTGACATCATCAACGCGCTCTGGTTGCTGAGCAAGGAGCCTGGAGACAGAGTGAATATGGGGCTGGAGTTGGGCCAGGCCAGAAAGAGGCGGGTCAGGTGTTTCTTGTTGTAGTTTGGCATAACTGACGCCATCTTGAACTGCATTTAACTACTTCCCTGTATGAAGGAACATTGAAAATTGCTCAGGGTATAAGTCTCATGAGAAAGACATAATGAGCTGTAACCACAGGAGAAAAATAACCTGCTCAACAAAAGAAGCAGGATACAGGTGTCAACTAAAAATTAATGTAAGATTCCAGCTAAATTGCTTCCAACAAGATGTCTTCTTGTGGTTCTCTGTTTAAAAGCTTTGTGATTGGGGGCTGGGGATTTAGCTCAGTGGCATAAGCACCTGCCTTGCAAGCAGGCAGTCGTGAGTTCGATCCCCGGTACCGATAAAAAAAAAAAAAGAAAAAGACAAAAAAACAAAAACAAAAACAAAAAAAAAGTTAAAAGCTTTGTGATTTTCCAGTTCAGGGCCACTGTGTGAGACTCTGAAATGGTCCACGAGAGTAGTAACTGAGCTCAGCTAATTAAATTCCAAATTTGTCAATTTGGTGCTTGGATTTCTATACCCACTTCGTTTCTTACCTTCCTGGGCCTTCAGCAGCTTAGTCCTGTCACCCCACTGAACTGTGTCCCAAGGGACACGTGAGCCTTGGACGTCTCACAGAATCAAGTGGCCAAATAGTGTGGGGGTGTGGAGAGTCACCCTTCCTGCAAAGGCATTATGAGATTGTGCTCCCTTAAAATTTAGAGAGCTGGGCATGGTGGCACACACCCATAATCCTAGTATTTGGGAGGCTGAGGCAGGATAATTGCCATTCATCCCAAGCCAACGTAGGTTACAGAATTCAAGGCCAACCTGGAAAATATAGCTAGCAGTCTCAAAAAAAAAAAAAAAAACCAATTAAAATAAAAACAAAAATAAAGAAAATCTTGTAATTAAAAATCCCCAAGAGCTTCCTGTCCGTATCTTCACTTGGAGAAGGTAGTATGTGGAACGGGCTGTGGATTAGGCTCAGTGAGAGGCTGCTTTGAGGCTGCAGGGTGGGAGCTGTGGGCCACCCTGGCTGGCTAAGGCAGGCCATGGGGGTCTCAGCAGCCCACTCACCCACCTTGTGCTTCTCCCCAGCGGCCCCTTGGCACATACCCAGATGAGCACTTCACAGAGGACACCCCAAAGCAGAGCATCGCCGCCTTCCAGAACAGACTGGCCCAGATCTCCAGGGACATCCAGCAGCGGAACCAGGGCCTGGAACTGCCTTACACCTACCTGGACCCTCCCCTCATCGAGAACAGTGTCTCCATCTAAACCTCAAAGAACAGGTTCCCACAGGACATTTTTTTCTTTGATCACTTTCCTCTCGACTAACTGACAACCACAGAAAAGAACTTCCCAGAAAAAAAAAGTCTCTCTATGCCTCTTCTGGGGCAACCAAACCCCATATAATTCATTCCAGCCTTCTGCACAGGTGTCTGCACAGGTGTCTACACAGGTATCTGCACAGGTGTGCAGGTGCACGCACCCACACACACACCAGGAAAACAAAATCAAAAGAGAGCTAGGCACAGTGGTGCATGACTATAACCCCAACTACTGGGGTGCTGAAGGAGGATCACAAGTTTGAGGCCAGGCCAGGGATATATCTCAGTGGCATAAGCGCCTTCCTGGAAAGCATGAGATCCTAAGTTCGATTCCAGGTACAAAAAAAAAAAACAAGTTTGAGGCCAGTCTGGGCAACTTAGTGAGACCCTGTCTCAGAATAAAAAGGCCTGCAAGGGAGCAGATGGGTAGCTCAGTGGTAAAGTGTTTGCCTAGCATGTCCAAGGCCAGGACTGCTTTAAAAACAGTACAGAGAACAGACCCTCCTGGGACAGTACCACAAAGCCCTTAGAGACTTCTCAATCACGTGACTCAAGAGAAGCCAACCATATAGGCTGCTCAGAACTTCCCCCAGGTGAACTCGAAACCCAGTTTCCTTCCCAGAGAATTAGAAAATATTACTATAATCAGTAGTCAGCACTTCTAGATTGTGCCTTCAGCAAAGGAACTTCAACATTTCGTATAAATTCTTTAATTCCATTTTTTCTCCCCTGGGGAGCTCAGAGTCAGAGAGCATTCATGTCACCTTAATGATTTTCACCTCTGTCGCTTATTCAGCTATTAATTCTTTGGGGTTTTAGTTATGCTAAAATATTTATGATGGAATAATGGGTGGAAGGCAATTCAGAGGCTGTACCTATGTGTGTACAACCAGCAGGCTCAGTGGACTAGAATTCCGGGAAGGACAGTGTGCCATGGCAGGCAGCACCTGAATAATTCCCTGCTTGTTGAGACAGCACCAGAAAGGATTTTGAGCTCTGGGTCTGTTCAAATTCTTTGGTTTTATCCTAGAAACAGTTCCTACTCACAGAAACCAATAAAGGACGTCCTGGTTATAAAACTGAGAGCTTGGAGGAATTGAAGTTAAACTCTACCATCTCAGGAAAGACCAGACATTCCAGGGAGGTCTGGATAACCAGGGCACGAGAACCAATACACATTCTCCCAGCCCCCCCACCATTCTCTGTCCTTGATTTACCTCCCTTGTCCAGGTGTGGTGGTGCACACGTGTAACCCCAGCACTCAAGAGGCTGAGTCAGGAGGATCTCTGTGAGTCTGAGGCCAGCCTGGGCTACATGGTGAGTTTAAAATCAGCCTGAGTCACAGAGTAAGACTATCTCAAAAAGAAAAAGAAGGGGATGGAGAGAAGATGGCAGATAGATAACAGCAGCTACGGAGGCTCTCTGAGATAGCCAGCTTAGATTCCAGGAATGGCACGGTGTGGGGAGTCCTAAGCAGGGGGAGGTATACCCTGCCAACCCAGGAGTGAACTAAGCTGAGAGAAAACAATCAGAAATGCAATCCTGGTGCTACGATTGGAACCGCTAAAGTCTCAGTGCCGCCGCAGAAACCCGCGGCTTGAGTTCCCTGCCACTGCTGCTGCATCTGAATCTGCACAGCTGGGATAGAGAAGCGAACACTCTGAAAATGGGATTCGGCAAGCCGAATTGAGAGCAGAGCTGGCGGGGAACCCTGCATCGACCTGTGGTGAGTGAGAGGAACTGGGACCTTTCCATAGACAAGGAGGCTCCAACAGAGGACATTCTGGGACCGGGCAGACTGGCCGGAACAGGGCGCTGCAGTAACTTCAGTCACATATTCCCTTCTCAAGTGGGATTGGTGGAGAGTGCTTCACCTGGGTGGCGCCAGGGACTGAGGCCCAATAGGTTAGCCCAAACCAGGTCCCTGCACCTGGCAGTGAATCCTAACGCAATAAAGCCTTCAGTAGGTTGACCCGGAGGGGCGGGCCCAGCATAGGCTGCCCAGGTCTGTACCTCCTAGGACACTGCAGTGGGGAGGACCACCTAGTCAGCGTGCTTCAGACAAACTGAAACCAACAAAGAAAGAAGCTGGGCCTCCAATATATGCCTGTATGGAAGGAACAAAAAATACGAGAAGAGGAGGCAACAAGAAAGGGTCCTTAGTCCCCAGTCCTGAGAACACTGATCCAGGAAAGGTAAATGCAAAGCAGAATGAGGACAGAAAACATGCAATATCAGACATGGCGCCAACAGACATAAAGTGATATCTCCGGGACCTCATAGACGAGTTCAAAAGTGAAGTATTTAACCAAGTAAAGCAAGATGTAAGTAGAATAGTTAAAGAAATGCTAAGCAGCTCCCAAGAAAAAACAGATGGTAGAATGGAAGAACAGAAAAAGAGGGGAGAATTGTTTGATGGAGAAAATATAGAAAACATAGAATATGTGAAGCAGGTTCAAAGAGATTACCAGGAAACTAAAAACTCTATTGAAAGCTGGCATAACAGCTTGAAGGAAACTAAGGATAGATTATCTGAACTGGAGGACAGGTTTGTAATGTGGGAGCATAAAAGGAAAAAAATTCTTAAAAATAACAAGGAAACAAGCAGTAACAATACAAAGGCTAGAAGATGATAAGAGGATCTATAACTTAAGAATAAAGAATGTGAGAGAAGAAGCAGGGGTACAAACAAAGGAGCTACAAAGGCTATTCACAGAAATAATCAAGGAGAACTTCCCAAACATAGGAAAAGGGAAAGATGCTCAGATGTATGAAGCATACAGAACTCCAGCCACCTACAATCAAAACAGAACTATACCCAGGCACGTAATAATCAAGATTTCAGAAATCCAATATAAGAACAGAACATTAAAGGCTGTCAGAGACAAGAAACAGATCACTTACAAGGGAACACCCATCAGAATTACAGCAGACTTCTCAGCACAAACCATCAAATCTCAAAGAGCATGGGGGGAAATAATTCAAGCCTTGAAAGACAATAACCTCCAGCCAAGATTGATACATCCTGCGCAACTGTCCCTAGAAATTAATGGAGAAACAAGATGCTTCTAAGATAAAGAGGAACTGGGGGAATTCGCAGCCACCAATCCAACTCTATAGAGAATACTGCAGGACATTCTAAAGAGAGAGAAAAGTACCAGGATTCCAGAAACAGTGGCAGAGAGGCCACAATGAATGGAGCAGAAAGCAAAATGAAGAAGACAAACTGACAACTAATGACAGAAAAAGAGCTCAACAGAAATGAGGCAAAGAAGGTTGGATATAATTTCTAATATAGATGGCCTAGATGCATTAACTTAAAGGAAAAAAGAGAGAATCGCAGGCAGAGTGGATCAAGAGGTAGGGTCCACCGAGAGACTCTTTATAGGAAATATAATTGGCCTGGAGAAGGTTTTTATAGACCAAAATCAAATATGAGCAAATGGAACTTGATGTGATAGGGAACCAGAGAGTGATAGGGGTAACTAGACCAGTATTTATGGATAGTTGAACAGACAGGCTTTAATAAATGAAGAAATATAACTAGAAATCCAGCCCAGGAATGAGAAAGTTCAAAAATACTTAGGTAAATAGCAGGTTGCCCCCCACCCAATATAAAATCATGAATGATGGGGAGACCCGAAAATACACAGTTCATTCTGGGGGAGTAAAGGGGAGGAATAGCCTTCAGGAAAAAAAACCAGCAGAAGATACAGCTAAGAGTGTATCCGGAATTAAAACCTTTATTACTCGCACCACTCTGCTTGGATGGAACTTGTTCCGTCCTAGTTTGTATACAAGCACTGGCTGTGCAGAGCACAGACAGCTGTCCCGAAGATATCAGGACATAGCACAGTGGTCATCTTCAGTTTCCTATTAACTCAATCAGGATCCCTGTATGACTTACACTGTTGTATCATGATTGATCTTAGTTAAATCTGACTTGTTTGAATACTGCTTATTATTGACAGATTTTATTCAAAACTGTTAGGTTGCTGGTATCGAGTTGAGGAGTATAGACAACTATATTGAAAATGACAATGATTCACCACAATATCCATTCTGATTTGATTACTACCTGTTTATGTAGCTCTACACTATCTACAAAGTTGTATTTCTGTTAATTCTGTTATGTGCTGATGTGTTCAATTATACTTTATCTGATGATATAGCCAATTCTGTTGATGGTAACAAGAAACAGCACAGTGACCATGGTAGAACTCCTTATACAGCAGATTTATATGTCTTTTTAGTTTTATGTGTCTATAGGAAAAAGTTTAGTTCTGTCCTGCTTTGTTCTGTCTCTCCCTCTAATATAGAAAGGATAGAAATACATGTTAAGGCTCATGCTTGCGTAAAACCTATAAACAGTTTATGAGAGCTGATCTTATGACACATGATGAAATGAACAAATACTTTGAAGGAAAGAAAGGGGCACTGCAGTACCCAGAGTGATTCCGGAGTGTTATGATGTGAAGTCCAGCAATATTATTAATCTTTGTTCAGGAGGATTTTAATCTAATAAGTTGTGTTAGGTCTCAACATAAATGAAGATATGGATAAATGCGTACATGTCTAAGTGTATAGGATTGATAGCCATAATACTTAGTCTTTGTTGGATAGTTGAACAGAATGATTTGCAGTCTCCCTGGTTGAATTCCCATTTATATGTTCCACTTTTGTATCTTGAACAATTATTTGTGGGGGGACAATATGTAAACATTAACTAGTGATTTATTACTGTTTATTTCTTTTCTTTGAGAGTAGTACTATTTCTACCCATTTTATATTCTGTTTTATCTTTCTTTAATAAAATAAAATTTAAAAATTTAAAAAAAGAAAAAAGAAAATACACTGATATTCAGAGTCCATGAAGAAAGGTCCACTTAGGTTCATGTGACCACCATGGGACCACTGTAGCTCAGAGAAGCTGTGCTCACCACGTATCTCATGTGCTTCTCCATAACATTCTCCAGCCGGACTTTCAAAGGGGTTGGGGCCGTGCTGCTAATGCTGGCCGATGGTCTGTGCACGGCACTGAAGGCTTCCAGCAGCACCCTGCGGGTATGAGCGGGGTGCCTCCTCCGGCCTGCCTCTGTCCTGCTCGGCTCCCTTACAGGCACGTTCCACATGAGCCCCGTCCTTCTGCCTACTGCTGGCCTGTAAGCTCAGGAGACCGAGGCTCACGAAGCCCACCCAAGTGCCTGGCAGCCTGCAGTCTCTCAGTAAGCACATGGTGAGTGGAGGAAACAGTGCACAGATAATTCCCAAACCTCTGTGGTGCTCTCTGCTGCTTATCTGTGTCTCCCCGCCTGGTGCTCCAGAAATAAACTGGCTTGTGTTTCCAAGTATGTCATTGCCGCTGAGCTGGCATCTCCTGGAGAAACTGGGGAAGCTGAGGCTACCCAGCAGTGGGAATCCAAGAAGTCAGTCTGTGATGCCAGACCCCGTGAGCCTCTGCCCACCCGTACGCCACCCCCAACATCACCCTAGTCCTCGGGTTCTTGGCTGAGCAGCCATGAGAAGAGGTTATTACCGGTGGGTATACACAGCCCTTCAGAGCAGCAGTGCCCTTGGACCAGGGTGGGGACTACCTCACAGACAAGCCCTGAGCGTCCAGGCCCAAGGTCATGTTTCGGGGACCAGGAGGGTTGGATCAGCTGGCTAAAAGTAGAGGATCAGCTCCCTGTCTATCGTCCCAGGTTCTTGCCTCTACTAACCCAGCTCTGTCAGCTTGGGAATGGGGAGCTTGGGGAGTTATAGAAAAGGAAGAGAGAAAGGGTAGGCTAGGAAGGTTCCAGAAATAGGGCAGGAGCCAGCTCACTCTCTTCCCAATGTTCTAGGGCAGGATGAAATAAGCCAGGAGGGACAGAAGAGGACACGGGAGTAGGGATTCTACAAATTTCATAACACATCAGGGAGGAAGCTGGGGGAGTAGCCTAGTGCCACAGCATCTCCAGCACCCACCCACAAAGTGGGATCCAGTTACACACACACACACACACACACACACACACACACACACACACACGCACCCCCGGGGCAGGAGACAAAAAAAAAGAAACAGGGCAGAGAATAAAACACAAAGTTCAGAGACCATTTATAAAATAAGCCTAAGTGTTGAATACACATATGAAGAGATTTTTAACTGACAGGCTCTGAGGGAAGCGTCCTCAGGGTTGTTGAGACTGATGTGGCCCCGTCACAGTGTAACTTTCAGGGAAATCTTCATAGAAGTCTCAAAATTTAAAGCTGGCTGAGGATGGTAAACACCTATAATTCCAGCTAGTCAGGAGGCTGAGGCAGAAGGATTGCTTGAATATGAGGTTTAAGACCAGCCTGGGTAAGACAGTGAGACCCCTGTCTCTTTAAAAAGAAAAGTTTAATCTAGTAAAACCACTTATAAGGAGATATCCTGCTGAAAACTCCCGTGTTTTCACAAAGAAACATTAACTGTGATGTTCAATGTGGTGTATTTATAATAGATAAAAAAATTATGAAATAAATATCCATCAGGACGAAATACTAAAACCATTAAGAAACAATCTTAATGTTAAGCTAATTCAACTGTTTTATCTTTACTTATTAATTTATTTTGGATTTTTTGAGACAGGCTCTTGTTCTGCTGTTCAGGATGGTGTAGAACTCACTATGCAGCTGAGGCTGGCCTGGAATTTGGGGCAATCCTCCCGCCTCGGCTTCCAGCATGCTGGCATTACAGATGTGCACCACCAAGCTTGGCTACAACACTGCTTTAATAACATCAATCCCTATCTGCAAGGTGAGAAAAACCATCTATGAGGCACTGTTCTGTTGGGAGAAAATAAGCCGTACAATAGCAAAAAGTCCTTCTTGCTCTTCTTCCTCCTCCTCCTCCTCCTCCTCCTCCTCCTCCTCTTCCTCCTCTTCCTCCTCCTCCTCTGGGATTGAACCCAGGACTTTACACGGAGCTACATCCCCAGCCCTTTTGTTTTTTAAGGTTGGATCTCTTATTAAATTACTATGTTGCCCAAACTAAGCACAAACTTGCAGTCCTCCTGCCTCAGCTTCCCAAAGTGCTGGGATTACAGACATGAGCCACCAAACTCTTGGAACAAAGAATTTCTTTCATGGTTAAAAATGGAAAAACTAAGTAAGTCATACTTGAAGAAAAAAGTGTGGAAGGTAGGATGCGTGCCCACCTGCTGTTGAGAAGAACAGTGGGACTGTCCTTCAAGGATATTTAATTTTCTAAGGAAAAACTTACCATTGCTTGACTTTACTATTTATTAACAAGTACTTCAGGCTCTGTGATGTTTGCATAATCTGAGACCAGTTTCCATAATCTGATACCACAAATGATTTATTTCTGTTCAGTAAAAACCTAAAGACTATAGCTTTTTGCTGTGTGACGTTAACTAGTTTTATATGAAACTCAGTAATGACACCAATATTCCTTTATTATATGGGGTATACAAAGTTTGCTTCTCAACTGTTCTTGAAACCCTTTAGAAAATATCTTTAATTTGTGTTTATTCTGACTTGTATGAATTGTGCTTTTAATTTTTAAAAGTGCTTCTTTGAAGCTGGCACGGTAGCACATGCCTGTAATTCCAGCACTCTGAGAAGCTGGGGTGGCGAGTTGGATCCTGTCTAATAACAGGGTGAGGGACTGGGGATGCAGCTCAGCACAAAGTCTTTGGGTTCAATTCCTTATGTACACATATGTGTTTGGTTCTCTGATCTGAGAGACAAAAGGAGAGAAAACAGAAAAAAAAGAGGCCTTTATTGGGGGCACGGGAGGGCTGCCAAAGAGAGAAATGAAGAAAGCCAGGTGCTTTAATTTGGTTTTGACAGCGGATGGAGCTGAGGGGGTGCAGAATGACCTACTGACAGCTGCCTGGGGGAGCGCTGGTGCCTGCGGAAAAGCAGGAGGTTCAGCTTTGGGATTTGAGAGGACATACGAGAAGGGAAGCACTGTCCAGCGCCGTGCTGACCCAGCAGAAGGCACAGGGAAAAACCTGTCATGTGTATTTAAAAAAATAGGCTGGAGGGAGGGGTCGTATACACCCCAGACCCAGGCCTTTCCCCCACAGCTGAGACCCAACTGTCCTCGCTCATCTCCCTCTGTGCTGGCCTTGGCCCGAGCCTGGGCTCACTCACCACCTGGGGGTGCTGGGAGGCAGCACCCCAACCACTGTGCACACTGAGCTGGAAAACGGGGAAGAGCGAGGGCTGGCTTGGGAGACCCAGGAGGCCCTGCCATCCTTCTCTTAGTGGGTCACAGAAGCACAGGGCTGGGCACCGACAGCTTGGAAGCCCAGAGGCGCCAGTTCTCTGGGTGAGGAGCCCACTGAGCCTCCTAGAGGAGGGGCAGGGTCACTGTCTTCCCAGCCAGGAAGAGGCCCAGACCCCTAAGGTCCGGAGAGCTGGGGGCAGCGTGGAAGGCCAAGGTCTGCGCCCTGGCAGGACTGTCTGCATGGAGCTGTCCCTCCACGGCACAGGGCCACCGGGTTACAAGCTGGGCACACGGGGCCCAGAACCCCTCACCCTGTCTCCCTACCTTGACCAGAGAGCTCAGGACCCTGGGCAGCCCCTCCCCCACTTCCACCCTTGACAGCCTGGTCCCCGTTCCTTTGTGGGCTCGAGGATCTGGGGCAACGTATCACTCAGCCTGGTGGGACCTGCAGGAGAGAGCCCTGTGGCTGGACAACCTCGGGAAGGACTTCAGCCAGGGTGACGGCCTTCACCACTTGCGATGGCCACCTTGCCGGCCACCACCCTGCACCCAAATGAGCCTTCTGCCCCCACCCCCAGGAGGAGGACTTTGAGGTGACCCTCTCAAAGGACATGGGCCCCGTGCTGCTGCTGCCCCTGCTCAAGGCACGCCCTCCGCTGCTCTCCTGTCTGGCTCTGCTGCTGGTTACATCTGGAGCCCCTGGGGGGTGCCCCATTCTCTTCCCCTTACTGTGGCTGGAGGGGGCGGGGACCCTGCTGCAGGTGGAGCATGCCGCAACCCAGTAGGCTCCTGAGGTTCTTGGGGTTAAGCGGATCCTCCTGATGGGAGGAAAGGAACTGCTCACCCAGTGCAGCACGTTTATTTATACCCTCCAAAGGAGGATGTCAGTTGCAGACCACTGCCTAGGAGCTTGTTTGCCTGGCTGGCCTGGGCCCCCGGCCCCCCTGGTGTTGGAACAACTAGTTTACATAGCTTGTTTTGGGCTCTCTGTGTTTTCTGGGCTGGCCTTGCTTTAGCCCCACTCAATCTCCAGCTTCAGTGGCCCCCTACAGGGGCAGGAGAGGGGAGAGCAGCGGGTGGCCAAGGACTGCAGGGGGACCGGGAGGCCAGCGTGGTGCTTGGTCAGGGCGGGCACCGGTGCAGTCAACGTGAGAAGGAAGAATGCAGAGGGGGGCAGGCTGGCTGGGGTGACAGGAGGGTCAAGGGAAGGAATGGGGTGCTCAGGGTGGGGCTGTGCAGACCAACAGGGGCAGGAAGGACCTGTTTGACTGAGCCAGGGCAGGATGCTGAGAAATGGGGAGATGAGAGGAGGAGGCAGGGCTGTGGGAGGAGGAGGACACCAGGGTGGGAGAGGGCTGCCAGCTGGGGCCGGGGACCACCGCTGTGTCCCCTCCTCCTCCTCCTTTCTCTCCCCACCCGCTCTGTTTCATGCTTCCCTTTTGTGGCCTTGGAGTTGGGTCAGTGCACGGCAGGGGGCAACTCCAGCCGTGTTTAAGGAAGAAGGGGACCCCCGAGGCTTCTCTATCCCCTAGGAAGAGGTGCAACAGGCCAACAAGCCAGGGGTTGGGGGGGCCACTGCCCACTTCAGAAAAGCCTCCACCGGAGCCCCTAGGAGAGGACCAGATCAGACCA